ATTATTATTATTTTATGTCATATTTGATTGTTTTTTTTTCTTATCGTTTTTTTTGTCTTTCTTTTCTTTTTTTATTTTTTTCTTCTTATTAATATGTTTTATATATACCTAGTAGACACGCCGCTGGGTGTTGCTACTATCTTCTGGCTTATATTGTAAGATAATTATTGTTAGCAATCTCTGCTTAATGTAATTAATCTTCTATATTTACATTATGTGCGTGTATACATATATATACTATTCTCTTCTTCATATATTTTTTCATATTTTATAAGGTCTCTTATGTTAATTCTCATACAAAAAATGTTTGTCTACTAATTACAGCTTAAATCCAAAAGCTATATTTTCCATATCCTTACTTCGTAATTTTTTCGCCGGCCAAAGCGCCACAAAAACTTTCCTATCTCAGTCTTTCAACCAATAACGAAACAGCTCTTCGAGTTTCCTTATCTTTACATAGAAACACACAACACAATTCACTAGTAATTTTTTTTCCAAACATATAACACGTCTCGATGAAAAGAGTTTATTTTTTAAAACCTTTTCATTTATTTTATTTTAATTTAATATTTGTTTTAATTTAATAGTTTTCAAAATTCGTGCTTTGACAATTGTATAGTAATTGGTGCATTATATTTTCCGTGTTTTTTGTTTTTTCTTCAAATTATTTGTATAGTGAGTTATTGCATATTTTTCAATTATTTTAGTTGTGTCTTACCTTTATATACAACAAAATATTTTAGTCTTATAATAAATTTCTTACCATATTGTTAAAAAAGTTAATTCTCATTTTTTTATTTATATCTTCGTATTTTTATTGTACTTTTAACTCTGTAATCCTTTAATGTAGCACTGAAGATGGGTCAAATCAGGACCCGAAACGTTTGACAATAAAACATTTTACTTAAATAAAATAGTTTTAATTAATGGATGGATGCCCAAGAACAACTTTATTATTATTATTATTATTATTATATATATATATATATATATATATATATATATATATATATCTTAACTTTACCGCAAAAACAATAACATAATTACCAATTGGTATCATAAATCAACTTACTCAGGTCGATACCTATCTTTCCTACCACTCTCTCTCTACTGAAATAGACACCATTATCAACTTAATAGATTATGCAATACTATTGTTTCATAACAATTTTTTGAAGAACAACCTCTCGTATCACAAATCTTAAGTAAAAATACTCATCCTCAACATTTTATCCAATTCATAACCAGAAACCGAATTTTATACCTTCAAAACCGCCATAACATTTCAACTGGAAATCCAAACCGCAAAAATTACGTCGGAACTATTACCTTTCCCTTTATAAACGATCTTTACTACTCATGAAAAAAACTCTTCCATAAATTCAATATTAAAGTAGTATTTACCTCAGAGAACACCCTTTCAACATTATTTACTAAATTAAAATTTAAATTCGATCCGAAAATTTTATTGCCAAGGGTTTTTACATTGGCGAAACTAGCCAAAATCTACACGAAAGAATCTCTTAACATAGAAATAATTAAAAAAATAAGAATCAGTATAAAACAATGCTCACAGAACACATAAATAACCTGCAGCATAAAATTGATTTCCTAAGCCCGAGTATATTACATTTTGAAATCAATATATTTAAAAGACGATTTAGTGAAGGTTGTCCAATACCATTAAACAATAAAGCAATCAACAAAAGACTTGACAGCTATTCGCTCTGTAATCGTTACAAGATATTCCTCGACCATTTTTCAAACAATATTATTACTGAATGAAACGTATCCCTTTTTTATTACTTTCTGAAACCACATGTTTTTACCAGTTTGCACATTTTTATAAAATCTGTGTAAAGACATTCATTCAGCGCACAGACTTCAACAACTATGTACACAAATTTAGTTTTTTTACTCTAATTCATAATTAGTTTTAAATGTTTAAACTACTGATAGCTTGATCTTACAATTATGTTAATTAGTGTAGTGTAGTGTAAAATTGTTTTTGTATGGAGGTACCTATCTTTCAGTCCAATATGATGTATCAATTTTCTTTTCTAAATTAATTATAAAAAACTTGTTACGTAAAATGTGTTACGGTGAATGTGAATTCTTGGTAAAAGTGCACATTTATGCTTATTTATCTATGGTGCACATTCACAGGTGAATAGGCGAATATGCACATTTCCCAAAACGCTAGGTAAATGTGAACTGAATAACTGAATGCACATTTACCATTGTGTTTTGGAAAATGTATACTTTTACATTTTAAATATAAATTTAAATATAAATTTGAATAAAAATAATGAATACTTAATGAAGAATAATAAACAGCTGTTAGCAAATAGTGATTGCTAGCAAATAGTGATTAGTGATAAGTGAAAAGTAAATAGTGAATAGTTAAATAGTTAATAGTTAATAGTTAAATAGTTAATAGTTAATAGCAAATAGTAAATAGTTAAATAGTTAATAGTAAACAGTTAGATAGTGATAACTGAATAGTTATTTGTTAATAAATAAATAGTTAATGGTTAATAGTTAATAGTAAATAATAATGAATATTAATATGCATATGACTAAAATAAATAATATAAATATAAATATAAATATAAATTTAAATAATAATAAAAATATAAATATAAATATAAAAATAAATATAAATTAATATTTCACCTACAAGTGTGCCATATTTATCGAAACTGCACGGTAAATGTGAGATCAACTCACATTTACTTAATTTCAATGGTAAATGTAAGTTGAACTCACAATTGCTAAATGAGCCGGTAAATGTGCACCTTTACCGGGGAATGTGTACGGTCACCGAAATATGCACATTTACCGTATATATTACATAAAGTAACATTTAACATATATATTCAGTGGCGTCGGAAGCAAATTTTTGATGGGTGGGCTCGTTTTTTTTTAGATAGGCAGGCAGTGGGTTTGTTTTTTTTTAGACATATCAGCCCATACAATTTTTTGAGATTGATGGGTGGGCTGAGCCCCTGCAACGGTTCCGACGCCACTGTATATATTATTAGTTATAGTTACTATTAAAAAAAAGAACAGTTTTATGGTGATCCTAGTTTGAACGTCGTTTATTATTTACATTTATATTATTTTCATCTACTATGTAATAAAATAAAACTTTTTAATTTATTTTAACTTTTCTTTAATTTATTTATAATTACTATAGTATTACTATAGTATATAGTAATATAGTAGAATAATATAGTAATTACTATAGTATATCATAATTATGAATAAGCATGACAAGTTTCTGAAATTCACATTTATTTTTATAACGATTCTGGCTTGCTTATTAATAGATAAAAAATGGCAAATAATAATAGTCATTCATTATTGCAACAACATAACTAACACTATGTGTAATTTAATGTAACATATATCAAAGGAAAAATGATTAAAATAATAAAAATGATCACAGGAAAATATATTTTTGCCAATCTCGCAAGTCTTGTCAGCTCTTAGTTAACAATTCCGAAATGTTCAATACACTTGCGCAAACACTTGAGTATTTTATGAGCACGGCAAAAATACGTTAAGGTTACACACGTTTCCACTTGCGCATGCATTCTCTTATTTTATCTTAATTACAGGTGCGTCCGGTGCATCCTCAACTAACGAACATTACGAACAAGAAAATACAAAGAAGAAGAAACACGAACACGAACGAAGACGAATCATTCCAAATAAACTTGAACAAACAACAAACGCCTCAAAGCAGCGTCGGCTCGAATCTTCTTTGTTCGAGGATGTACCGTAAAACGTCAGTATTATTTAAAGTGGCGGGAAAGAGAAAAATTATTTCAAGTGATCAAATTTACAAAATATGAATAAAAATAATGAATAATGAATGAAGAATAATAAATAGCAAAAAGTGATTAGTGAATAGTGATTAGCGATTAGTGATTTAGTGATTAGTAAACAGTCAGTAGTTAAATAATGGATAGTGAATAGTAATAATTGAATAGTTAATAGTAAATAGTGATATGTCAATAACAGCTATATCTTATAATAAGCACAACATAAACTAATACAGGACTACAGATATTAACATCAAAAAGAAACAAAAATCTTTGTCTACATTCGTGGTAGCGTCCACATTGCATATACGAGTTCAAACATGAACGAACAATTTTTTTTGATGTACCGACAAGTTGCGGAACATTGCTCGCTATGTTTGTTTGTGTTCGTTCGTTTTCTTTGCGGCGTCCACACTATGCTTGTTGCCATTCGTTCTGGTACGTATGTTCTTGCTATGGTTTGCTCCATTGCACGAATTCGTACGGCGAATTTGTTCGCCAAGTGCGCAGACAAAATTATTGCAAGCAAAAGCAAACCACGCGCACGTTGCGAACAGGGTTTGCCGTGCGCGTTTGTGCAATGGGGCGCACCATTAAGGTGCGCCACACCTAACGAACGAACACGAACGAACATGTCGAACAATAAAATACAAAGAAGAACGAACAGGAACACGAACGAACGCGAATAATTCCAAACAAACGCCTCAAAGCAGTGAGGGCTTGAATCGTTTTGTTCGAAGATGTACCGTGAAACGTCAGATTTATTATTTAAAGTGGCGGGAAAGAGCAAAATTATGTAAAGTCATCAAATTTACAAAATTTGTCAATAACAGCAATATCTTATAATAAACACATCATAAACTAATGCAGGACTGCACATTATAACATCAAAAAAGAAAAATGTTTGTCTACATTCGTGGTAGCGCCCACACTGCACATACGAGTTCAAACATGAACAAACAATTCCCTTTGATGTACCGACAAGTTGCGGAACATTGCTCGCCATGTTTGTTTATGTTCGTTCGTGATCGTTGTGGAGTCCACACTATGCTGTTGCCGTTCGTTCTGGTACGTTCATTTATGTTCGTTCGTTAGGTGTGGAGGCACCTTTACAATCATTTATTTTGTTTATTTCACAATATCTTTTATTCCGAAAGGGCAACACTAGTTACACTCTCGTATAATCTTAATCGCACACTATGGGAATTTATCAAATATAACTCACATTTAGTTTTCTTGAACGTCAATTGTTTAAGTTCTTCTAGTATACAAAATAATAAATGTTTAAAAAAATCAGGCTTTGACCCTGTGATGCTTTCTTATGTCAATGTTTAGCAATTCTTCAGCCTTAGGCGACGACGCCACTAATTTAGGTCTTAAAGTGTCACTAGCAAGAAATATTTCGAGAAAAAGAACTCATTCCGAGGACAGTATGAATGAATTTAGCGATCTTAATAATCTGGACAATAGTACTCAAAAAAGAGCTAACTTTTCAGCACTATCGCAAAATGGAGTTTTTAGAACTAATCCTGTTACAGTTTCAAAACCAGGACTTACTAAAAAATTAATTATTAAAAATTTTAAACGTGAGTATTTATACATAAAATATGTACATTATATTTAATGACTTATAAATTATGTGCATATATATATATATATATATATATATATATATATATAATATGTGTGTGTGTGTGTGTGTGTAATAATTTTCTTCAGATGTGGATAAATATGTTGATAAAACAAAAAACTTGTTAACAGACAAAAAAGAAATCTTTTATATCTGGATGGATATATATATCGTTTGTGCATTGCTAAAAATTATAATTATAGTTTTCAAAACTATCTGTTCATTCATCTGTTCTAAAATAAGTTCCAATTGTGTGATGTTCTTATAGTCAATGTAATATCCAGTTGATACTAAAATTTGTTCATATTTGCAAATTTACTTTCTATAAAGCCCTGTGATTTATCTCATTTTCATTCCCTCAATGTTCATTTATTTACAATCACAATTCTTTTGTTTTCGATTTTTTTGGCATTAATATTTAGTAAGCTAATTTATATTCAAATATCATTATAAACTTATTTTGTAGTGATATATGTAATGTAATTTAGTAAGTAACATTATTTGTAGATTGCCCTCATTTGGCATCATATGTCAGAAAAATCAAATAATTTAATTATTTATATTTTCAATAAATTATTTATTTTTTAAAGGTGTAATTTGATAAGTTTTTGAGGTACATCAAAATGCACAAATTCAGATATATCCTCATGAATATTTCAAACATCACTATGAAAGTAATTTGATATATATATATATATATATATATATATATATATATATATATAATATATATGATCTAGTAGATATTTTTGATGTTAAGATATATGAGTAAGTTTTTGCAGGGCGATTAATCAAAGAATGAAAAACAAAGATTTATAAATCAATCTTTAATTCCAAACGTTTCGACATTCAATTTAATGTCATCATCAGTAGATATTAACTTTGGTAGCTTACATCTAAAGATGTGTACACAACACTAGAAATTAGCCCTAACAGTTATACAACTAACTAGTCATTTTTATCATTTTTGTATATGAAATGTAAAAAGAATAATGATAATTTTATTTGACAAAAATGTGAAAAGTTACTGCCACAATTTGTGTACAATTCACTCCCCGAGGCGCTTCTCATATATATATATATATATATATATATATATATATATATAATGAGATATAAGGGAAGATAACCCGACATCGGGCCATAAAAATACCCATTATATATATATATATATATAATGGGTATTGCTGCCCATTGATTCAGAGAAGAATAGTGTAAAAGATATCCTATTGTCACTTCACACTGAGGTGCCCAAAATGGGCTATTTTTAATTGGAAACATATTTTTGATCTATATTTTCAAGTAAAAAATCGACATCGCTGCAGCCCGATGTCGGGTTATCTATAGGGAGGTTCAAAGTCGCAACCTCTTCCACACGGGTTCGCGCGTTTGACCATTACGCCATGGAATACTCATATATATATATTATATATATATATATATATATATATATATACATAATATGGGTTTCTAATTAGATTTCCATTAAATGTCTATTACCTACCCTAATATATATATATATATATATATATATATATATATATATATATATTAGGGTGGTCCTTAAAATGGCCATTTTCGAATTTCCCTACTCCCAGGGGCTCAAATGCTTCCAAATAGCTTAAAAACAATTCTCTGAAAGTTTTAGCTCTTAATATTAACGTTTAGATAGAGCGCAATTCAATCAAAGTTTTGTATGGAAATAGCATGAAAAAATTTATATAAACCGTATATAAATGTATTTATATATATATATATTTAATATGGGTTTCTAATTAGATTTCCATTAAATGTCTATTCTATATATGTATATATATATATATATATATATATATATGTGTATATATATATATATATATATATATAATATGGGTTTCTTATTAGATTTTCTTAATTTCAGTAATTATTGGAGCAATATTTGTTTATGTTCAACAGTAATTTAAAAAATGGATATTTTTTTAGCTAAACCTAATTTGCCAGATAATTATCAAGAAAAGACATGGGGAAAGCTAAGAGAAGCAGTCATAGCTATTCAAACTTCAAAATCTATTGTTTATACTTTAGAAGAACTTTATCAAGCTGTTGAAAATATGTGCAGCCATAAAATGGCTTCACAATTATATGTTAATTTAACAGGTTTAACTGAACAGAATGTGAAAGCTAATATTGAAAACTTTCTGTCAATGACCATGGATCGAGATATCTTTTTGAAAATGATGAATGAAAGTTGGCAGGCTCACTGTAGGCAAATGATAATGATTAGAAGCATTTTTTTATATTTAGATAGAACATATGTTTTACAAAATCCATCAATACACTCTATTTGGGATATGGGTTTAGATTTGTTTAGAAACCATATCGCACTAAACAATTTAGTACAAAATCGAACTGTTGATGGTTTACTGATGCTTATTGAAAGAGAGAGGCAAGGAGAGTCAGTCGATAGAACTTTGTTGAAATCTTTATTGAGAATGTTATCTGATCTTCAAATTTATGAAGAAGCTTTTGAAGAGAAATTTTTAACGGCAACTGATCGTCTTTATAAAACAGAAGGTCAATATCTTATGCAGGAGTTTGAAGTTCCAGAATATTTATCTCATGTTGACAGACGGCTTCAGGAAGAAAATGAGCGATTATTGCATTATTTAGATTCAAATACGAAGTGAGTATTGTAATAATAGATTGTAAATCATCATTGTGCATGCATATATATTTTCTGGAGATTTTTTTTTGTTAAATAGAGATTATATATATATATATATATATATATATATATATATATATACATACATATTTTTATTTTAGATGGCAGCTTATTCATTCTGTTGAACGGCAACTGTTATCAGAACATTTGACTACTATATTACAGAAAGGTCTAGAAAATTTATTAGAACAAAATCGACTTTCAGATCTTACATTATTATATTCTTTATTTTCACGTGTTAAAAATGGCATGAATGAACTATGTACACATTTCAATTGTTACATCAAGGTTAGTTCATATTTTGTGAAAATGTATATAGATTATGATTAACTTATGCTTACTTTATATTGTTTATCTATTAACAAGTGATTTTAACTCATGTGGGTTTTCATTTTCAACAATAATGTTTGTTAAATTATTTTCAATGTGTGAGTTTGTTTTGTATTATTTTTTATATAATCTTTTATATAAATTATAGAAAAAAGGTCGTACAATTGTGATAGATCCAGAAAAAGATAAAACCATGGTACAAGAACTTCTAGATTTTAAAGATAGAATGGACAATATAGTAAAAACATGTTTTGTGAAGAATGAAAAGTTCATAAATTCTTTGCGTGAGGCATTTGAATATTTTATTAATCAAAGGACTAACAAACCTGCTGAACTTATAGGTTGTTTATGAAAATATTAACAATAATTAAAAATAATTAATACTAAGTTATGTCCATTTTATTATAGCTAAATTTGTGGATTCCAAATTAAGAGCTGGTAACAAAGAAGCTACCGAGGAAGAATTGGAACGAATATTAGATAAAATAATGGTGCTGTTCAGATTTATTCACGGAAAAGATGTTTTTGAAGCATTTTATAAAAAAGTGAGATTATAATAATTTATATACAAAACAGAAACATTAATTGTTTATTAGTTCTGTTTATGAAGTGAATGTTAGTTTCTTATTGTAATTTTTTTGCTATTAGGACCTGGCAAAGCGTTTATTAGTAGGAAAATCTGCAAGTGTGGATGCTGAAAAATCAATGTTATCTAAATTAAAACAAGAATGTGGTGGAGGTTTTACATCTAAGCTTGAAGGAATGTTCAAAGATATGGAACTCAGTAGAGATATTAATATTGCCTTCAAACAGGTATTGAAATATATTTATATATATATATATATATATATATATATATATATTTATGCGTGTGTATTTATATATAAATATATATATATATATATATATATATATATATATATATATTATATATATGTGATAATTTTTTTGGATGATGATAAATATGCTAATAAAACTATAAACTTTTTAAACAAGCATCCATCCAGATAACAAAAGATGAAGAAAACTAAATTTTGTTTTTTGAAAGTAAATTTAATGATCCATGCGTTTCATGTTTCAAGTCCCAATTTGACTCTTCTTCAGTGACAATAAAACAACATAAGTAAATATGCACTAAACACTAAACAAAAACGATACATATAAAAATTTTTACTTAGAGATATGTAAATGAAAAATAATAAAAATAAATATGAGTTGCATTTATAAAATTAATTAAAAAGGAAAATAATAAATTTGAACCTCACATCTCAAAGGACAAACCACAAAATCATATTTTTATTTTTATTAATTTTATTATTTTTTCATTAACATGTCTCTAAGTAACAATATTTATATGTAACGTTCTCGTTTTAGTGTTTAGTCCATATTTACTTGTGTTGTTCTATTGCCAATGAAGAACAGTCAAATTAGGACTCGAAACATATGGACCATTAAACCCACGGATGGACTGTCAAGATAATATTTGTAATGTAAATAATGAAGTAATATAAGACATAGATTCAAATTATAAATAAATCATAACTAAAAATTTGTAATTTTTTTTTGAAGAATTTAATATATTATTAGTATTGTAAAGTTTTCAACATTACAAGATCTATTTTTATACAATATTTCACACCAATTAATAAAATAGTTTGTATTTATCAATATATATATATTTTTATATACTATAATATAAGTTCTTCAAAAAAAAAAATTACAAATTTTTAGTGACGATTTATTTATAATTTGTTTAAATATTACCTTATTACTTACATTACATTAAAATATCACCTTAGAAAATATTTTGATGCATTACATTAAAATATCACCTTAAAAAATATATTTGATTATTCTCATTATATTATTGTTCATATTATTTTTACAGCACATGTGTAGTATCATGGATAAAGAATTTAGTAATATTGATTTGACTGTGAATATTTTGACTATGGGATACTGGCCTACTTACCCTGTTGTTGAGGTTAATATTCCATCCCAATTAGTGACTCTGCAAAATGTCTTCAATAAATTCTATTTAAATAAACACAGTGGAAGAAAATTACAGTGGCAACCTACTTTAGGTCACTGTGTGTTGAAGGCTTCATTTGATCAGGTTTTTCACTTTGTTTGCTGTTATTCATAATGTTGTTCATTACTCTATGACATTATATTAATTGTATTTATTATTTCAGGGACCCAAAGAATTACAGGTTTCATTATTTCAAGCCTTGGTCTTGCTGTTATTTAATAATTTAAATATAACCACATTTGAAGATATTAAAACATCAACAAATATCGAAGTATAAAAATATTTTATTCTTATTTTATGTCTTCTATATTTATTAGATTCATTTTTCATTTTACTTGTTAATATTCTAGGATGGTGAACTTCGTCGCACTTTGCAATCTTTAGCTTGCGGCAAGGCACGTGTATTACGGAAAAATCCAGCAGGTCGTGAAGTACTAGATGGCGATAAATTCCAATTTAATAATGAATTTACTAATAAATTATTCAGAATAAAAATAAATCAAATACAATTGAAAGAAACGGTAAGATTAAACTTAAGAAACAACAAATTACAGAAATTAATGTTTAATGGTTGGAAGTCACCTATCATGTGACAAAAGCTTTAGCGCTGCATTTCGTACGTTACCTGCGAGGTTTAACGATCGAACCAATCAAAATACGCGTTTTATAAAGTTTATTCGCGCACGATTGACTTCTGACCTGTCACTGTTTTACTTAATTTTCAATACAGTAGAAGTTCCTTATTCGTGGGGGATACGTTCCGTAAAAATTCCGTGAATAAAGAATCCGCAAATACAGGATGGCATTTTATATGGAATCATAGGGATATGTTCCAAGGTGACTAAATAATCCGCAAATAATGAAAAAATCGTCAAATACAGGAAGGCATTTTATATGGAATCATAGGGATACGTTCCAAGGTAACTAAATAATCCTCAAATAATGAATAAATTTGCAAATACAGGATGGCATTTTATATGGAATTGTAGAGGATACGTTCCAAAGAACACAATAAAGAAAAATAAATATTGTTGAGAACTATTATTTAATATGCAATATTTTAAATATAATAGATCCCATATTAAAATTAGTTAGTCATAAGTTTAGTATCAAATCTAACATTAATATAAGACTTTATATTAATTACAATATATTAAAATAAAAGTCAATTTATAAAAGTTTTATATTAATGTTAGATATGGTACTAAACTTATTACTAATTTTAATATGAGATCTGTTATACATAAGATATTGCATATTACATAATAGTTCTCAGCAATAAAACAAATATCATTGCACATTTTAATTAATTTTGTTGAAGCTAAGGCAAAGATTTGAAGAACTTTGCAATATTGTTTTGCTTCTTTAATTCTGATACTCATTGTCAGTCACATCAGTAATTTACCTCTTAAAAATAACACTTCATATACAGATCAATGCCCATATAGAAATTGCACAGTTCATTTTTAATTCTTCACTGATTTTTCAAATTAAATGTCAACTTTCTATGGTTGTAAAAGCAGTTAAAGTGAATTGCTCTTCTTCAATGGGCTGGGAATGTGGATTTCATGTCGATTTGAGTCAAATTTTACTAAAAACCTATTTTATTCATTGAGTAATAAATAAAGTCGTTTTTATTCTATTGGTTTACATTAGTTATGTGCCAAATCGAATCAAGCCTTTAATGACCTGATTCGAATCAGATTTTACTTGATTCGAATCAACTCGTATCAAGCCGCGAAATATTTACTATGATAAAATATGCATGAACACAAATTTTTCATAAATATAAAAAAAATGTTTTAAATTAATTCAATATTATAATAATATAAAAAAATAATAATAATAAATAACATAAATGTACAAAAAAAATAAAATAAATGGAGAATTAAATCATGCGAGACACCCGGCTTTAATACGCTTAAATGTATCATTCAACTTCAATCGACTTCATATAACTCAAACCGAATCATTCCGACTTCAAGCTGCTCGAGCAATATGACTTCAATCGACTTCATATGACTCAAACCGAATCATTCCGACTTCAAGCGGTTCGAGCGATATGACTTCAAACGACTTCGGAACAGATACAATGCGTCATCGTTCTTGCGTGTTCATTTATTTTACGGAGCGCTGAAAGCAATTTTGTTTGTAAAATATCAATACCTAATTTTGATAATAATTAAGTGTTTTAGATTTTAAATATCATCAGAATAAACCACTCAAAATTATGAAACGAGTTTCGGGAATCATTCAATATAATTCATTTTTGAAACAATTACTAAACACCAGAAAGCCAGTAAATTAAATTTAACTTCTGATTGTGTAAGTAGTGGCAAATTCACATTAATGAAATTAACTTTCAGCTCTGTTTAGATGCGATCTTTTACTGATTATATAGTAAAATAAACAATCGACCCATGATTCCAAATATTATTTTATATGCTTTAGTGATGCACAATTGTTTGGTAATCTATTGTAAATTAATAATTGAAGATATGTTTGCCTCCTTCTGCCTTCTGCCTTCAAAATTAAATCATTTTTAATAATTTTCAGAATACACTTTTTGATAGTAATTTATGTTTACAATTTCTACTTTGTCGGTTATATTGGTTAAACTAATAATTTTGATTATAAATTTGGATCACTTTTACTAAATAAATACATCCATGATTTTTTTTGTCCATATATATTTTTGATTCGAGTTGATTCGAATCAGGTTTTTTCTGATTTGAATTGAGAATTTTTTGAGTCAGCACATCACTAGTTTACATTCTCAAAAACTTTTAGTTCGATACATACAGTAGAAGTTCTTTATTCACGGGGGATACGTTCCGTAAAAATACCGCGAATAGAGAATTCGCAAATACAGGATGGCATTTTATATAGATTATAGGAAAAACGTTCCAGGATGACAAAATAAACCGCAAATAATGAATAAATCCGCAAATACAGGATGGAATTTTATATGGAATTGTAGGGGATACGTTCCAAGGTGACAAAATAAAGAAAAATAAATATTGTTAAGAACTATTGTGTAATATGCAATATCTTAAGTATAACAGATCCCATATTAAAATTAGTAATAAGTTTAGTATCCAATCTAACATTGATATACAACTTTATATTAATTACAATAATATATTAAAACTTTGGTCAATTTATAAAAATTTTATATTGATGTTAGATGTGGAACTAAACTTATTACCAACTAATTTTAATATAAGATCTGTTCTACTTAAGATATTGCATATCACATAATAGTTCTTAGCTATATAGAAAACAAAAACCATTTTTAATTATAGTTCTTGTACATTTTAATTTGATATGTTGAGACTAAGGCAATGGTTTGAAGAACTTTGTAATATTGTCTTGCTTGGCAGTTTTTAACTGCTTCTTTAATTCAAACTAACACTTAACAGTCACATCAGTAATTTGCCTCTTTAAAATAAGACCATACATAAAATATGCCCATACAGAAATCTCACAGTTCATTTTTAATTCTTCACTAAGATTTTTCAAACTAAATATCACGTTTTTATTACTTGTAAACGCAATTGAAAAGAATTTATCTTCATCAATGGACTGGGAATTTCGTGTCGATTTGAATCAAATTTTACTAAAAATATATTTTATTAATTGAGTAATAAATAAGGTTGTATTTATTCGAATAGTTTACATTCTCAAAAATACCGATAGTGCGAAAACGGCCAAGGCAACGGAGACGGCTTATGTCAAAGATTTCTTTGTTAGTTCAAAGTGGCATTTACGGCATTTACAAAGGATTTTGGATTCGATACATATTGGAATCCGCGAATAACGAAATTTTTAGTCGCGAATATAGAAATTGGGTCACAATTTTTTTTTGTCCGCAAATAGCGAAAACGCGTATACAGGAAGCGCGAATAAGGAGCTTCTACTGTATATTAAACCCAAAAGTAAACAAAGAAAATAGAAGAAATTTTGATAGTTACAATAGCAATTCGTAACATTTTGAAAGTAGTTTAAATATAAGTGTAATATATGTAAATAACATTTAATGAAAATGTTGTTTTGATTAAATGAGATTTCTTACATTTACTGAAACCAGCTATGACCTGGTGAGAATCACATGTGAAAAGCTAGCAACCGATAAGGGCTAAAAAACAAAAAAAATATTTCAATGATCTTACTTTTATGTTACATGATAATTTATGATATCACATTACTTTTTTTCTTCTCTTACAGAATGAGGAACAAAAATCAACTGAAGAAAGTGTTTATCAAGATCGACAATATCAGATCGATGCTGCGATTGTAAGAATAATGAAGATGAGAAAAACCCTAGGACATAATTTACTGATCAGTGAACTCTATGATCAGTTGAAGTTTCCTGTCAAGGTAATTTTACATTTTTATGCCAAAATCATAAACAGTTGAAGAAAAAATCACATTATTTTTAACTCAATATGATAATTGCACAATAAAAGACAGCCCTGCTTACAATTACACATAACAGCAAATTAACATCATTTTATAAAATAATACATAACATTTCTAGTAAATATTTTATCATTTATCTTGTTGCAGCCAGCTGATTTGAAAAAACGAATTGAATCTTTAATTGACAGAGATTATATGGAACGTGATAAAGACAATCCCAATCAATACAATTATGTTGCCTAAATAGCCTAGAATAATATAATGAATTAAAAATTGATTTAAATAACGCTTTATTGTGTTATATAATTTAAATCGAAAGTAAATTTATTTATTTATTAGTTGCTATATCTATTTGCAATTGTAAATACAGTATAAAATAAAGCAGGTATCTTTTTAAATTTATAAATATTGATATGTATTAATTTTGTGAAGATGTCAATTGTGTAATATGTAAATGGTATATGAACCGCATGTTGATGCATGGAAAGCCATACTTAATTTTTTCAAATCACAATTACTTTTTCAGAATCAATATCTATTTTTACAGTGACTTTTATGTGTTTAATATTATAATAGTTTTAACATCAAATTTTTGTTTATTCAAGCAGCAATTTGAACAGTAACATTTATATATTTCTTGAAAGATTGATTGCAAACTGTGGACATTTTACACGAGTGCAATAAACTGTGTTTGTATTTTATTCTCTTTACATTTATTACTAACAATGAGAAGAAAGTAGACAGTAAAATGAAAGTTTTATAATGTTATGATGATATTAAATGTTAAATATGAACAATACAACACTCAGATTTTTAACACACTTTATTTGATAATTACAGACGTTTCGAGACCATGGTATGCCTCATCTTCAGTGTAATTTCAAAAACAGTTATATATATATATATATATATATTATATATATATTGGATATATATATATATATATATATATATATATCAGGCTTGCAACAAATAGTATATTTGGCATGCTCCCAAAACCGAATACCGAATAGTCGGCAACTATTCGGCAGGTTTTTGGCGCCTTAACTCGTTTGTTTTAATGTAATAACTATCAGTAATTGTTGTATTACTAACGCGCTACTCTTTATTATTTGGAATCATATGACCCATTTATACTATTCGGCCGAATATCGAATACTTGAATACCACATATAATGGGGAAATAAGTGGTAAAATTATGAAAGGAACCGCTTTTTACATATATGATAATGTATTTCCTATCAATCCTTATATATTGGAAATGCTTATCATAACAAAATAAGAAATGATCAAAAATATTGTTTGTATATTTTGCGATAAAGAGCCAATAATATCTTATTATTTGGAAATGCTTAGAATTTATATAATGATTGACTTTATTGCATTGATACAACACATTGAATGATTTATATTAAATAATATAAACATGCAACAATAAAGTATCTTGTGAATATTCAGAAAAAAGTTCTTTGCGTAATAATTTTTAATCTCAAATGTCAATAAAGTTTAAATTATTACATATACAATAACGATAAATTTTTCGCATCATATTATATAAATTAAACACTTCCAAATACAGATCCATCGCGAGCTCTTTATCGCATATACGATAAAACACCAACAATGCTGTCGCTGAGCGGCGGCGGCGCCTTTGATTTTAACTACTAGGTATTCAGCCGAATATTAAAAAACATGCCAAATATGCCGAATATTCGGTGCAAGCCTAATATATATATACATATAACTATATATATATATATATATATATATATATATATATATATATATATATTATGAGTTATTTTGATTTGGGCAGTAACACCAAGTAAAAAAACTACTGCAGTTGTAAAAAAGATTTATTTAACCATACGTTTCGGTATTCGTCGAGACCGTCATTCAGTGGAATAGCTAAAAGATTTTATAAATAATGTAGGAGGAAAATGATATAAAGTTATAGAGCTTATATATAAATACATACAGAAAATTAATTATACAAAAATACACTACACTATCTACACAGTAATAAACCAAGCTATTAATAATTGGAACATTTAAACTAATGATTTTTGACAATTTTTAGTTACATTCTAATTAATTAAAATGTTCCAATTATTAATAGCTTGGTTTATTACTGTGTAAATAGTGTAGTGTATTTTTGTATAATCAATTTTCTGTAAGTATTTACATATAAGTTCTATAATTTTTTATCATTTTCCACCTACATTGTTTACAAAATCTTTTAGTTGTTCCACTGAATGACGGTCTCGACGAAGACCAAAACGTATGGTTAAATAAAGCTTTTTTATAACTGCTTTAGTTTTTTTCACTTGGTGTTACTGCTCGAATCAAAATAACTCATCAAAATATATATCAACACCAAATTTACATACTTCAATATATGATAGGATCCTCATATTTGACTTCAATTGAAAAGATCAAAATATACCACATTTTTATAATTTTGAACTTGGCAATGTGTTTTATATGTTCAAATAGATTAGTTTGCTTTTAGCAGTGATATAGATCTCTTGATCTGAGGAACAATAATAAAAAGACATTATGCCTAATAGCAATCAAAACAAAAATAATTATATCAATTTATTTATTTGTTTTCACAACACAGGTATAACTAAATTTACTGTAGTTCATTTAAAAACCTAATTTTTTCAATTTGAATCTTTTTCATATCTATTTCATTAATTAGAGCATCTGCCATACACTTTGGTGTTAGGTCTCTTTTCAGGAAGTCGGACACTAATTGCTTAGATGGTTTTCCTCCACCATGAGCAAGACATTCTTGCCTATATGCTTCACCTTGAGTGCGACTGAATGGATCACTTTCAAAATACACTTGCCATATTAAAGATGCTACAGCTCGAGATACTAGGTATGAATAATATTTTGCTCCATATCCAACTAAGTGACCAAATCGCAATTGCCAGGCCTAAAGTAATAAAAGTATCAGTTAATTATCATCTTGCATAAACTTTTTAAAACTGTTATTAATATATCATTGAAATTAAGATGAAACTTCTGGTTTTCTCACCGTATTATTAACATAAGGTAAACTGTAATAATGTTTTTGAATCTCCTTCAATGCATCAGTAGTAACGCCTGTAAAATTTGCACTATGGTAGTGTTGATCGAGAGCACTATAAAAAACTTGTAATTGCATTTCACTAGCTCCAAATAAGCTCTTAGATGCGCATAATCGCTGCAACATTTCTTGTGGCATCTTTTCCTGTGTTTGAAAATGTCTTGCAAAACTGCTCACAACCTGTAAAATTAAATGATTAACGATTTATGTATTAAACTTACATCAATATTTAAAAAGGATTTCAAGACATATAACCAAAAACGAAGCATACTAAATTAGTTCCCAATCTTTTTTTTCATTCAGCTGCCATTTCTATTTATTTTCTTACAATGTAGATATTTATATCTTACCCTAGGATCAGATGCAAAGTACTCCATAAGAACAGAAGGTACTTCTGCAAAATCAGTACTGCATCTAGTTCCAGTCACATGTTGATATTTGGTTCTTGCAAGCATTGAATGCATTGCATGTCCCATTTCATGAAAAAGATTATCTACCATAGCTGGGCTTAAAAGCGTGGGGCTTGACCATCGCGGTGGTGCCAAATTTAATACAACTACTACTATAGGATTCTAAAAAATTCAAAATAAGTGAATAAGGTGTAAAATATCAGATAGATATAGTAGGTATTTTTCTGCTTGTTTTACCTGATATGAACCATCGGATTTCTGTTTACCACCTTGTATGGTAAAATGGCAATCTTGATTTGGCTTTCCTGGTCTTTCATAAAAATCACAATATATATGACCTAGAGTTCCTTCAGTCTCATGAACAATTTTTAATTTATATATATCATTAGCCCAAGCTTCACCTAAGATATAATTTTTACTTAATATTAATCAACATTGAAAATAATCTCAAATGGCAATAAATTATGATATTAAAAAAAACATAATTAATAATAATTAATAATAATTACCAGGTGCCATTTCTTCAATTACAAATTTAATACCAAATAAAGATTGCATTAATATGTCCAATCCTTCCATACAACCACCAAGGCTAAAATAAGGAGCAAACTCAGATGCTCCAACTTGTAACCATTGCTTCTTGATTTTTTGTGTAAAGTAAGGTGTATCCCAAGCAGCTAACTCCTTATTTCCAGATTCTTCACTTGCTTTCATTAATTGCATTGTTTTGAAGTCTTCACTAGCCCTCAATGAGAGTTTGTCAGAGAGTATGTTTAGAAAATCATTTACGGCTTCTGGAGTTTCTATAGTACTTGCTTTCAAAGCTCTACAAAAGGTAATGACAATTAATATATAGAATTCCTAATGCTCTATAAATAGGCTATTAATCATACTAATAAAAAGGTTAAATTTCAATTTTGTGAATATTGTTGTCAAACAGAAATGAATACCTATGCGCATAAGTTTTAAATCCACATATCTTAGCTAATTCTTGCCGTGCTTTAAGCATTTCACTGAGCAGATATTCTTGATGGCTGTTCGGGTGTAAAAATAATTTATAAGCTGCTTCACGAGCAGATGCGTTACTAGAATCTGCATACAATCCTGATATGACCACATCATCACCTTCAACTATAAAACTAACAAATTATGAAAAACTATAATTCTGAAAAAGAAACAATTATTCATAAGAAATAATTACTATTGCCTAATGTTATCTGGAATTATATTTTTTGGAACACTGCGAGGTTGGACAGCACCATTCATAAATTTCTGTCCGAGTTGTAAAATGTAATCATTCAATTCCACGACTCTTTGCCTTTGAGTTTCAGGTAAATGAATTCCACATTGTTCAAAATCAAACATAAATAATCTAGCTACATGGTTGTCAATCGATGTTGTAGGAAATAAATCACCTTTTGTTACAACACTGTTTAGAGCTGAATACAATTCATAATGTGTGTTCAATCTAAAATATAACATTTGCTGTTATCTTTCCCCATCATATGCATGCATATATATATATATATATATATATATATATATATATATATATATAATACATGAAGATTTGTATAAATATCAAATATACTTCTCTACAATACAGCTAATACTGATACAAGCATCTTCTGCAGCATGTGCATATGCTGCTTTGGGGTGGGCAATCCGAACAAATTCTGCAAGATCGGCTACTTTACACAGATTATCAGACAATTCATCAAAAATCTCTACAATTTTGCGTTTGCGGGTGTTTGATATAACTTCCTTAATTAGATTTTCTGAATCATTCACAGCCCGTTCTTTCAAAGCAAAAAACCCTTCATGAGATTGCAACTCACGCTTCATAAACAATCCCTATAATGCAATTATATGTAACATAGTATATAATAATATTTTTGAAAATTAATGAATGTAACATCAATTTACCAAGAAGTTTAAATAATAATTTATATATAATACAAGAATTTCTGTGCAATATATGCTTGCATTATTTAAATAAATGTCAATACTAATAACATGTCAAATTAAATATTTATTGTATAATGTGTTTCTATTAAAAATCAATTTCATTACCGTATCTTCCCGCAAAAGACTCAAATTGACTTTTGGATTAGGTTTTGTATTAAATGCTGTTGCTAATGCAGACCAAGTAGAAACCCCTGCTCGTCCATTTGAAAAAATGCGCAACAAATACATATCATCAAGACAATTTGAATATAAACGACAAATTAAACTATTATTAATGGATAATCTAATCATTGCGAAACAGAGTCAAATGAATTATATAAATATAAATTAAAAGGTTAGGTCCTGCATTTTATAATTCCAGTTTACTTGGCTGTTATACATTATAAAATAATGATATCTAAACATAAAAAATGTATTGAAAGTGTTCACTAAAATTTGTACATCATAAATTTTTAAACAAAATTTGGTAATAAATCCATGAGTAGCCTGCCTAGACAATATAATAATATAAACTGACAGTGACAGGTCGCAAAGCTATTGCACAGTGCACGTATACGAAACACAAGTCTAGATTCTAGATGAGTGTTTTCGTACGTTTTTTGGTCATTTTTACTTTCCCACAATTAAAACTTTTATACCCATATATTAGGTTTAATCTTCATGATTTTGTTTTGTTTTCTTAATATATAAAGATAATAAGTTTTACCTTATTCATCTTTCAAACTTTATCAATTTTTAAATTACCTGGTAGTAACTTGTAATAACTAAAAAATTTTAGTAATTGGAAATGTTGTTTAAATTTTAATAAAGCAACATAAATAAAGCGGGATATACTTAATTACAAAATGTTGAAATGGGGTATATTTATAATCTTTTAAGAGATAAATATCAATTATATCTTTTTTGCCTTATTTTTAATTTAAAACTACTTTTTTTGTTCTTTAACGAAACATTGAACAGTTCTTACTTTTACATATTCGGCTTTTCATAATTCAATTCGTAGTTAATATATTGTTCTGTCACAGAAACACATTTTTTGATTATGACAATTAAAACTACCACAATTTTAATTTAAAATTTCACGTGGCGCATAATATAATTTTCTACAATCTCATATATTTTGATATTTTGTGTATATTTGTTTAAGTTCGTAAGTAAAGAAACGTTTATTTTGCTCAATTGGTTACCCTGTCAATTTTGTGTCACGTTTCTATGTTGGCAATATACATGGAGAAGTTGATGAGCGTAGCTGTCGCGTACTCGTTCGTTCTATTTCCTTTTCGACTAGAGTTCGTGGACGTCGGGTATGTGTACTCAGTGTAGTGAAATTTGGTTTAATTTATAGCATCTTACGATTGCCGTAAATTTAATACTGTAATCTTAATACTTCATTAATTGATATTTTGCATTATAAACATATTTTTGTGATATTTATCAATAATTCGGTATGATTTGGTTTTTATTAAGAATGTTGGTAGTTTTTATTCTACATTTCAACATGTGGGATCGTTGTGTTAAAATTATAGACCGATGATGTGACTTCAAATCAATTTGTTTGATTTTGTTGCTAGGTCTGTCCACTTCAAAAGATGGGTGCTTACAAGTATATTCAAGAATTGTACCGCAAAAAGCAAAGTGATGTGTTACGGTTTCTTCTCCGTATCCGAGTATGGCAGTACCGTCAATTGACGAAAATGCATAGAGCCCCTAGGCCTTCCAGACCAGACAAAGCCAGACGTTTGGGATACCGTGCTAAGCAAGGTATAAAATTAGACTATCATTCATTTCGATCACTATTTGATTTGCGATATTTTTTACAGGTTATGTTATCTTCCGCATCAGGGTGCGCCGAGGTGGACGTAAACGTCCAGTTCCAAAGGGTGCTACTTTTGGAAAACCAAAGAGCCATGGAGTTAATCAATTGAAACCCACTAGGAACTTGCAATCTGTTGCTGAGGTACATATTGTTTAATAGTCTCATAGTGTCCATATTTACGTTATAATATATGGAGACACATAGTTCCCAACATTATTATTGTTGGTTGTATATGATGATTAGGCATGCACCACTCTTAGTCCTGCTGAAAAATTACCTTTAAAAAAATCTGATTGCTAATTCATAACATACTGCAAAACTTATATTTTGGCATTGCTTACAAAATATTTTAATTACAGGAGCGTGTAGGACGTCGTTGTGGTGGTCTGAGAGTTTTGAATTCATACTGGGTTGCTCAAGATTCATCATATAAGTACTTCGAAGTTATTTTGGTGGATCCATCTCATAATGTAAGTTTCATTTATTTTTGCACCTGACTATGTTTTTGATAATCTAACAGTATTTTTCAAAATATCATTATTTATTAAATATTCCAATACATGATGATTGGGCATGCACCACTCTTAGTCCTGATGAGAAACTATCCCATTTTTTCTGATGCAATTTATAAAATACTACATATATTTACATCGATAACTGCAAATTAAACAAAGTTTTTTCTTTGTTAAAGGCTATTCGTAGAGATCCTAAAGCAAACTGGATCTGCAATGCTGTGCACAAGCACAGGGAAATGCGTGGACTTACGTCTGCTGGCAAATCATCTCGAGGGCTTGGCAAAGGCCACCGTTACTCACAAACCATTGGTGGATCGCGTAGAGCTGCCTGGCTCAGAAGAAATTCTCTACAATTACGTAGAAAGCGTTAAATTTTTTTGTAAAGATGTGTTGATATAAATATACAAGTCATGAAAAATTTTTGTTTTTAATTTTATTTCAGGAGACTTAGATTATTTGCGTTTCAGTTTTAATTTTTCGATAAATAAACGACATATAAAAATATATGTAAAATTTTATTCCGAAACACTTACGTATATTAAATAATTTAAAGTGCCATCTGTTGCGCATTAATAACTTTCATACATCTGACAGCTCCTACTGGCGCCTACAAATTGTGAAAACACAGTATGTTTCAAAGGTTATTTGAAGGACTATTACTGTTAAATGCACTCTAATTCATTATTAATTCTAATGTTCAGAGATAACTTAACTTTATTACCATGTCGACCAAAATTTTGAAATCGGCTATTTCAAAATATTTTATACGAAACTTTGCAGTTAGTATGAACGAGTTACTATGTTAGTCAAGTTTTAACTGTAAAAATGTTTATTTTTACAGACTAAACAAACTTCTGTAAGGATTATAGAAGTGGGACCAAGAGATGGATTACAAAATGAACCAAAAATTTTATCAACAGATATTAAAGTTGAATTTATTAATCTTTTATCAGAAACTGGTCTTAAATCCATTGAAGCAACAAGGTGAATTATTGAATATTTAAATAAAAGTTATGAATTATATTACAAGCACATTATTTATAAACAGAATATTAACATTACATATTTGTTGATTATACATTTTCTTTCGGAATAGATCTTTCCATGATTATTATTTATTTATTTAATCAGCTTTTTGTATATAGTTTTGTTAGTCCAAAATGGGTTCCGCAAATGGCAGATAATAGTGATGTTTTAGGTGCCATAAATCGTCATCCTGGAGTAGCTTATCCTGTATTAGTACCAAATTTAAAGGGCTTTAATAGTGCTGTATGTTAATATAATTTGTCTGCAGAGTTACAAAAGTTTGTATTTGTATGTTGATTGTATTTTTTAGCTGAATTCAAAAGCCAATGAAATTGCAGTGTTTGGAGCTGCTTCAGAAAGCTTTTCACAAAAAAATGTTAACTGTTCTGTTATAGAAAGCATAGAAAGGTATTTATTGTTACATATTAATAAAATTATCTTTGTATTGGGGACTTAAAATTTTTTTACATAGGTTCCGTGAAGTTATGAAAGCTGCAAAAGAGAATAATATCAAAGTACGTGGTTATGTTTCATGTATTGTAGGATGTCCATATGAGGGTCCAATTAAACCTTCTGCCGTAGCTAAAGTTACTGAGGCTTTGTTTGAAATGGGGTGTTATGAAGTATCACTAGGAGATACAATTGGTGTTGGAACACCTGGAACCACTAAACCTATGCTAGAAGAAGTTCTTAAAATAGCTCCTGCTGAATCACTTGCAGTTCATTATCATGACACTTATGGACAAGCACTAGCAAATATATTATGTTCACTAGAGGTGAGTATCAAGCGAGGTTAGATGTAATACTTCAAATCTTTTGTTTTACATATACGAATAACATATAAATATTTCTAAACAAAATGTTATTTTAGTATGGAATTTCTGTTGTGGACTCGTCAGTTTCTGGGCTAGGTGGATGTCCATATGCTCGAGGTGCATCTGGTAATGCAGCCACTGAAGATGTTGTATATATGTTAGAAGGGTTGGGTGCGCACACAGGTGTTGACTTAGATAAATTAATACATGCTGGTAGATTTATTTGTGATGCTTTAGGACGTGAGAGTGGATCTAAAGTTAATCTTGCAAAACGGGGAAAATCTCTTAAATGCTAAATGAAAGTAATATATTGAAATTTAAAACATATTTATATGTAATATTTTATATTTGTTTAATAAAATATAAAACAAAAAAGTAAGTCTGCTTAATATTATTATTAAATGTATTTAATATATAAATCACTGTAAATTTAAATTACTGTAGATATTGTAGGCATTATGTATTGTTTGAAGTCTATGTATAGATCAAAAATTATATGAGGGGCAGTGTTGTTGCCCTTTTAAATGTGCGTACAAGTTTTATTTGTTCCCTTAAGAAAAAGTAAGTTTTAAATTACCCACATTGGAAAACAATAGAAAACGTCTTTCTACCAAAGTAAAAAAAGTAATATTTTTATGCATAGATAAAAGAAGAGTATATATATATATGTTTTTATGTATGTACATATGAATATTAAATATAAAGTTAAAACATAACTTTACAAAATTCATCATATTTGAATAATTTAAAAACATATCACATATGTTTAAGTTAAATAAAAATTATTTTCTTCATAATTAATCATTACGATCAAATCAGTGGAAATATTGAAAGCGATAATTTATATAATATTCGAAAATGAACTATTTACCGCGTACTTTTCCGTTTTCACGTCGGATTAAGGGTGCATTCGACTTGGACGCTTACGCGCTGTGAGCGCGCCGTGAGCGCGCTTTCATCGTTCGACTTGGCGCTGTGAGTGTCACATAAGTACGCTCGTAGCACCATCGTAGGATGCTCGTAGCACATATTTTGCGCTCACATACGCTCACGCCACAGAGGTAGGGCAGCGTGAGCGTGAGCGTCAGTTGTTTTTACTATCTGTCATTTCATTTGTTTATTAATTGTCAAATTCTTTATAATTCCGCAAAAATGGCAAGCTGTATGTCACAATTATTTTTTAATATTAATATTGATATTAATTAATTTTAAATTTAGTTAATTTTAAATTTTAATTTTAATATTACTATTAATTAAGCATGAGCTGACCAAATTTCATTTATTTATTAATTGTTAAATTCTATATAATCCCGCAAAAAATGCCAAGTTGTATATCACATTTATTTTTTAATATTAATATTAATATTAAATAATTTTAAATTTTAATTTTAATATTACTATTAATTAAGCATAAGCTAACCAAATTTCATTTATTCATTAATTGTTAAATTTTTTATAATCCCGCAAAAATGCCAAGTTGTATAACACAATTATTTTTTAATATTAATATTAATATTAATTAATTTTAAATTTAATTAATTTTAAATAATTTTTAAATTTTAATTTTAATGTTAATATGAATTAAGCATAAGCAAACGAAATTTCATTTATTTATTAATTGTTAAATTCTTTATAATCCCGCTGAATGATCCAGAAAGTAATAAAATTTACACAATTACCGTTACCGCCAGTTGCCGCCATTTTGATGCTTATTGACGCTCACAGTTTCCAAAACGAACGGATTTCAGTTATCGATTCTGAGCGCTTATCGGCCAAGTCGAACGCTAAAAATTCGTGCTTATAAGCGTGAGCGCTCACAGCGCGTAAGCGTCCAAGTCGAACGCACCCTAAGCTTCACATGGTAGCGTTTTCCTATAATATCTGACGCAATTGACATCTGTCAAATGCTTTATATTGTATAAATTATTTTATTCGTCATGTTTTAATATATTTTGTGCTTGACGTTTTAACAAAGCAAGATATGTAGTATGTGCAAAATGTCAATCGAGGATAACAATATTCATTTCGCAACTGACGCTCAATCTGAGCCCCCTAGAAGTAAATTATATCCAACAGCACCACAGGTTGGATTTTAACTAACCATCGTTTTAAATTATTTCTTGTTAATATGTTATGCATTTTAGAAAATCAATAATGAATCAGGTGTTACGAATTTAGTACAAAATAGTGATAATGATGATGCTCCAGTTAGGCCAGCAAGAAAAAAACAATCAAATAATAAATTAATGAATATTGAACAGAACATTGGAGAAAATGATAATGTGAATGGTGAGAATAGTAAAATATACATATTATACTTTATTGCTCAAAGAGTACAAATTCATTGCTTCTTTATTGAAATATCATATCTTTAACTACTTTTTCAATTCTCATCAAGAGAATATTAAATTGTTTGAGTTTAAGAATTCAATAATCAGTTGTTTAGATACTTGTGGCTTTTATTTGTCACCAGGGCATGCATCTGACATCAATATGGTATTACTTATGAATAGTCTGTTTCGATTTTAAAGATTTCTTGTTTAAATTGAATACATTAAAAATTAGTATTTAAATTCAGAAATAATTTACAGGTACAGATTTGTTTACTTAATATTACTTATTTTCAGCTTCAGGGGTAAATAATGTAATAAACATAGTAAATTCAAAGCATGTCCATATTGGAGGTCTAGTTAATATTAATGTCAATGAAGGTGATGAAAAATATAAAAAAAGAAAAAATAAAAAGTATCGAAAAAGTAATATAGCAACCTCAATACAGGAAGATGAGACTGTAAAAGCTCTCATGTCGTCTGATGAAAAGTGCACGAGGGTGCACATGGAAATCATAAAAAAACATATAGGAAAGAACTGGAGGAATGTCTTTAGAAAACTTGATTATTCAAATGGAGAAATAGAACAGCTTTATATAGATTATATTAATGAAGGCATTTCAGAGGTAATTGCATGGAACTGCATCACATTTTGCACTTTTTTGTATAATAATAAATGCGTGTTCTCCTGTGAGCTGAGTTAAACTCTAAATCGATTTGGGCAATTTTATAGTGATATATTTTTCCGGTTCTTACAGGAAATTTTCTAATAGAAAAAAATTGATACACTACCTTATTGTACCAACTACAATATTTATATTATATTATATATTATACAAGATTTATGATGTGTGTTTGTCACTTTCTTATTTAAAGTTTGAGCATGTGTAGATTTTTGAGTTAGACATTTGAAATTGTGATATGTCTTATCTTCAGTGTGCAATTAAATTATTTTATAAGTATATAATTAAATTATTTTAGTTATAAGAGAGAAAAGAGCAAACATTTGTCACAAAGGTTGACACACTTCTGACTATATGAACTTACGTGCATCTATAAATGTACTTGTGTAAATCTATAAAACTCCAGCAATAATGATACATATATATTATATTAAACAAAGGATTTAAAGTAGAGTTTTAATAATCATTTATTGAAAATTGTTTTTTTTTAATTGACTTGTTTTAAAATTTATAATTTATATTAGAAATGGTATAACCATAATTATGTATTGGTTTTAAAACTTGGCTATAATTATATTTTAGGTAATCCATCAGGGCCTAGTAGATTGGACCCAAAACAATCCAGATGAGGCTACTTTAGGTAAAATCTGTACTGTTCTCTGGGAAGAAAATTGTTGTGATGTGATTGAAAGGCTTATAAATTAAAATTTTTATCAAAATGTGTAAGTAATATTTTAGTGTTTATTAAAAATTTGATCTCTTGAAGATGGTGTATAATCCTAATGAATGATGTACTAATGTGAAAATCTATTGTAATGCATGTATACATTTTGTTTATTGTTAATTTCAAATTATTATTATTATTTTTTTTTAAATATCACTGTTATTGTATAAGTGTTCAGTTAAGTGATGGCAATAATTTTAGCAGATAAGTATTAAGTTTAAAGAAAATAGAACATTTTGAACTAATATTATACAAATACATTATAAGTAATTATTATTATACATTACAATCAAATATTCAAAATTATGCTATTATTATATTTAAGAGAAATATGTTTTATATTTGCATGTACATAACATGATGAAAATATTAATGTAAATAAAATAAACCAAAACACTTTTCTATTTATAATAAATAATAAATAATTTGTAAATGAACACGAAATAATGACAAAAAAATGTAATAAATATGCCGTATTTAAAATTTTAAACAAAAAATCTTTCAATTTAATATAATTTCATTTAGGCTATATGACACATTTTTTTAAAATGACAAGTGCCCGTAGATAGATTCAATATTTATACTTGTTAACTTCCCTTATCGCAGGTTATAGTAATCATAAAAAAATCGAAAATGAAAATTTTTATATATCTTGACGTTTCAAAGGTTTCTGAACATTTTGGCATACCTTAGAAAAAATGGATGTGTGCGTGTGGATACAAATTTTTGTCGACAATTTCGGAAACACGGATCGACCGATTTGAATAATTCAAAAAACATTCGATTCGTGTTGATAAGAAGACGTGCTGATTAGTTTTTGGCGTAGGCAGGTCTGGCCGTTCCGAAGATACGGTGCAAAAAGTGCCAAAAACGGTAACTCAGTTTTTAAGAGAACGAAGCGTCCGACTTTAATAATTTCAAAAACAGTTTACTTGTTTGACAAGATAAAAAAACTGATTAAATTTTTGGGAAGGCAGGTCTAGCGGTTATGGACTCTCAATAAAAATAAGTTTAAAAAACACCTTTTGGCGGTCAAAAATGATCATCAGACATATGCACATCAAATTATCAGATATTTTATAGAGATTTTAATAATGTGTACCCATTTTGTGTAAAATTTTTTGGGTTCCAAACGGTACGGGAAGGTCCAGCAATTTGCCACTAGTTTATCTATGAATAGATTATTAAATATGATGTTAAAAGTAGCAGTTGCGCTTGAATTTTTCAACAGCAAATAAATCACCCTCGCAGAGCCGCTGATCACGAATGGTTTACGTGGTTTACGTGCGTGATACTGTGCTGTGATACTCCTGTGATACTGATATTTTGATACTGTGACATCAACTAATAGTGATAAGACCACGTGTACATGTCGCCGGCCTGTCAAAACATATTTTGACGCGACTGTAAATCGACGATAAATTTATCACAATATTAAAATAGAAATAATTATTTCTATAATAAATAAAAGGACAAATTATAATTGTTCTTCTAATTCTTAATATTTTAGAAAGATTTTTATATCAATTTAAGTAATATGAATCTAAAGATAATTAGCTTTGATGTTAAGGATATAAGGTTTCCGACTTCTTTACGTCAAGATGGATCAGATGCCATGGTAATTTAATAAAAACAACTAATTGTATAGCTTTTTTACAATTTAATACTATAGTTTCTTTAAAAATATATCTGTGTAGATAATTGACATTGAATTGTAGACATTATCGCGTAAAATATGAGAAATTTATCGCTCGTCATGTTGATAAGTAATAGCTAATAACAACTTCTTTTAACAATTTTGTTAGATTAATATGCCATGTAATTTTTACATTTATTAGAAATGGTTTTTACTGAACATTAATTTTATATTACTATATTTTGAGAAAATTTTTATTTATAATTATTTTGCAGATTAAATATAAATATTATGTGCTTATATTTGACAGTGGTAAATATCCTTTCTTCTAGTCCATTTTTTAATTTAGCATGCAGATCCTGATTACTCTTGTGCTTACGTAACTTTAACAACATTATCTGGCCTTGTTGGAAATGGATTGACATTTACTCTTGGTCGAGGCACAGATTTGGTAGTGCATGCAATTCAATTGATGAGATACCAAGTCATTGAAAAAGATGCGCGAGACATATTCAATAACTTCAGTTCATTTTGGAGAGAAATAACAAGCAGTTCACAAATGAGATGGGTATGTATGTGCTAAATGAAATAAAATGATAAAACTTGCGCTAAATGAATTTGAAATGTTTTAATAAAAAATAATTTTATTTTTATAACTTATTGTATAGAATTAATATTGCTTGCAGATCGGGCCTGAAAAAGGAGTTGTGCATTTAGCTGTTGCCGCAATAATTAATGCATTATGGGATTTATGGGCAAAATGTGAAGAAAAACCATTATGGAAGCTTTTATCAGAAATGGATCCTGAGGTCAGTTATATTGTCAGTAGATGTTAAACAATAATGCACTGCATTATTACGTATATAAACTAGTGGTACTTTCCATACTGAAAAGAAAATTATTTATAAAAGCTTTAACATTTTTTGAAAATTTTGAAAAGATTAAATTTTTGAGAATTTGGAAATTTTTGAAAAAAATGTTTTTTTTATATTTTGAATTTTTATGAAAATTTTGAACTTTTTGCGAAGCAGAGCGATTTTAAACACAAAATATCTAAGCGTTGCAGTGTGACTTAAATCTCTATAAAATAAGTTGATGTGCATGTGTTTAATGATAATTTTTGTCTGGCAAATAGCATTTTTTTATTGGCTCTCCGAAATCGCTGGGCCCCAAAATTTAATCAGTTCATTGTTTTGTGAATACAATAAAATGTTTTTTTAATCATTCAAATTGGACGCTCTGTTCTCTCAAAAATTAAATTACCATTTTTGGCACTTTGGCTCCGTATCTTTGAAACGGCTGGGGCTGCCTTTGTCAAAAACTAATTAGCATGTCTCCCTATCAATAATAATAATTCAAATTGATTGATACATGCGCCAGAAATCGTGGACGAAATGTTGTATCCACACAAAACATACATACACACATACTTCTATTTTTTCTAAGGTATGCCAATATTTTCAGAAACTTCTGAAATGTAATGATAAGCAAAAATTTTCATTTTAGATTTTGGGATGATTACTATAACTTACTTAATTTGTAAATTCTAGGAGTTTGAGTGGAATATAGTAATCATTGAAGAGTTGCCTTATGTTTCCCAAATTTTATTATACTATTTATGTCATTCAATGCTATAATATAACATATATAATGCTATATATATATATATATATATATATACATATATATAAATAAATATAATTATATAATTATATATAATTATATTTTGTAGGATTCTGAATTTGATGTTGACATATGTATTAACAAAGTCTAGTAATTGGGCATAACATCAATAAAAAAAACATGTATTTCTTTCAAAAATTTATTTAAAATCCATATGTTTCGGTTATAATCCTAGCCTTCATTCAGTGGAAACTAAAAATGAAATTAAAAACCAAAATAATTGAATTGGAGTGAAAAGAAAAATAAAAAGAGTAAATAGTACTTATAATTAGTTAAGCTTAGTGTTAAATTGGAAGATTTTAATAATCCATGGTATCAGGATATGGTAATGCACTACACTATATATTACCAACATTAAACTTGTAATTACACAATATTTTCACAAAATACTAATTTAAAAAATCACAAATGGTTAGTGTGTTGTTCTTAGACTCTTTGAAGATATAATGGAGAAAAGGCTGTTTTAAAAAATATTTTTACCAAGATTCTACACATGTGTGGAACGAATTGCGAATCATTTGCGCGACGTTTTTATTGTTTTGTGAGAAATTTGGAAATGTTATCTAAATAAAAGAGATTTGTGTCGCACAGCGTGTTAAGTTCATTCCGTTTATTTGTCTTATTGTTATAAATAGTTAAAAAAGATCCTTCTATAATTCTTCGTTTAAATAAATTTTGTGCGAATTGTAGTACAGTCGGGTTAGGAAAGTCCATATTGTGTTTTAAAGTATAAATATGGTCTGCAAGCATAGTTTTAATTTGTCTCGGATTTTTTAAGCCTAACTAATTGTAAGTACTATTTACTCTGTTTATTTTTTCTTTTCACTCCAATTCAATTGTTTTAGTTTTTAATTTGATTTGTAGTTTCCACTGAATGAAAGCTAGGATTATAGTCGAAACATATGGATTTTAAATAAATTTTTGAAAGAAGTTTATGTTTTTTTATTGATGTTATGCCCGATTACTAGACTTTGTTAATATAATTATTTGTATAATAATTATAATATAGAAACTTGTGTCTGTGATTGATTTTCGCTATATCTCTGATGTCATTACACCACAAGAAGCAATTGAAATGTTGAAGTCAATGGAAGCAGGTAAAGAAAAGAGAACTGAAGAACTTCTGGTTAAGGGTTATCCTGCATATACTACACAAATAGGTATATAAACTGTAATAAATATGAAGTTCAAAGAATAAACTTGTCAATGGAAACCAGACATATTATAAATGCTACAGGTTGGCTGGGATATTCTGAATTGCATTTTAGAGAATTATGTCACAAATATTTAGACCAAGGTTTTACTGCATTTAAATTAAAAGTAGGAAGCAATATGGATGATGATATTAATCGTTGCAGGATTATTCGTGAGATAATTGGTTGGAAAAATCAATTGGTAACATTATTTATTTGAACCACAGATATGAAGTATAAACTTCTATGAAAATTATATAATGGTTTAGATGTTGGATGCTAACCAAATGTGGGATGTGAACGAAGCTATTAAGTGGATGGAAAACTTAAGTGAATTTAAACCATTGTGGATAGAAGAACCTACATCTCCAGATGATGTTTTGGGCCATGCAAATATTTCTTCTGCATTAAGGTATCAATTACAAGTATTTGTTGAAGAACAGAATGCATGCATAAATTTGTCTAGTACACATACACAGACACACCTATATATATAATTTCAGTAAAGTAGAAGTTTTCATATAAGCCGAATGAAGTCAGATGACGGTTCATGACGATCGTATTAGTCGATTGAAGTCTCGCATGACTTATATCATTTTTTATTTTTATATTTAGTGTTATTAATTTTTTTTTGTTTATTCAAATTTTTGTTCATGCATATTGTATCACAGTAAATATCTTTTTACTCGATAATGAGTTGATTTAAATCAAGTAAACTATCATATCTATCTGTCTATCAGACCCTTAGGAATTGCAGTTGCGACAGGAGAAATGATAGCAAATCGTGTAATGTTTAAGCAATTTATGCAAGCTAATGCTATGGAGTTTTGTCAAATAGATTCTGCCAGGATAGGAGGGGTTAATGAAATTTTATCTGTGTATTTGATGGCAAAAAAGTTTAATAGTAAGGATTTTTATATTTGTTAATTCAGTAACATCAAAATTATTTCAAATCATCATAATTTTTATATAACACATGAATTTGGATTTTTATTTGATAATTAATTCATGCACAATCAGATCATAGAATATAAATTGAAATAATAATTATTATTTGTTACTCAGTTTTGTTCTATATAATTATACAGATTTTATTTTAAATCGGAAATTCTAGGTAAATATATATTTTTTTAAATTCATTGTAGATTTTATTTATTGCAATGATTTATTAGGATAACATGATATTTTTGTATTTCTAGCTTAATCACAATTCATGCTTTTCTTTTTTTAATTTTGTACATCATATGACAGAATAATGTTACAGTTGAGTTCATAATTATTATTTTTGTTAAGTTAAAGTTTGTCCTCATGCTGGCGGAGTTGGTTTGTGTGAAATGGTTCAGCACCTACAAATGTGGGATTATGTTAGTTTATCTGGAACAATGGATGGGCGAATGATAGAGTATGTTGATCAACAGCATGAACAATTTATGAATCCTGTTGTGGTATTGAATGCTAAATATATTGCACCATCGGTAAGTATTTATGGTACTCTCCATTTCTATTGGTTACAAAAAGATAGTTTCTTTATATATTTAAGTTTAATTGATTTCAAAAATGTAACATCAGAACTGAAATGAAATTGTATTTGATTCACATTATTTTTTAATTTTATTGAATTTAATTTCAAGTTTTGAACTGCACTTTCCACATAACCGTAGTGAACTTTTTTATTTTCAATTAATTTAATTGCAGATATTACTTGTTTCTATTTGTTTAGATGCCTGGATATAATACTGATTTAAAGGAAGATGCTATTGAAATGTATGAATATCCAAATGGAAGCCAATGGGTCCAAATGTTCAAGGCAGGTATATTTCCAAAACCTACATAAAATCATTGGAAAATATTGCCACAACTACGGTAAAGTTTTACTGGAAATGATTAATTCAAAAGTATATAAATATCAACATTTTGTAATTATATATAAATAATACAATATTACTATTACTATTGAACAATAATAATGACTAAACTCATAATAATGAGAATTTAGTCCAGTTAAAATTATGCTTTATTATATGCAAAGGCACTTAGTTTTGATTGTTTTGTATTTGTGGGCTGGTTTTCTTGGTCATCAGATAATTTCCTTTTGTTGCCTCTACTTTTGAATAATCTCATAGCAAGTTTTGTCAGTTCACCGCTGGATTTATTTGGAAATTCATTCTCCAAATTTTTCTTCTCTTTGTTGAACCAACTCATAAATGTTTCATTCTGGAAAATTAACAATTATTGATTATTCAATAAAATTCAATTCATTTATTAAAAATGAAAGTCAAATACTTACCACTTCAGTATCACTTTCAACAGATTCATTATTTATATCTGTTCCATGTGTAGGAGTATTTGAAGTTTTGAAACCAATGACTTTATCAGTTAAGTGCTGCAATGGATTTGGTGTTCCGAAATTTGGTGTTAAATTACACCTGAATGGGTTACGACCTTGAGAAAATGATTTAACTGCTAACTGTAAAAATAATTCAGAAAGTAGTATACAATATATTGAGATAACTTTTAACATAACAACTTTCAGTACTTACTGGTGCAACTACAACAGGTGTGATATTTTCATTAGTTGTATTCTTTGTTAACAAACTGTTATTGTGAATATTAGGTGTTCCTATATCTACAGAGACATCATTTTGTTGTTCAGCAACCTAAAATATATACCAAGTAAAGACCATGTCTACCTCTCATTGCATAGGTAGCTGAAATATTCTAAACATATTGGAAAAGATGCAAAAATATGTTTACCATTGTTGGTGTTTCAGGTCGCTCTTCCATATTTCTTGCTAGCATTCCCAGCTTATCTGCTAAGTGCATTCTTCCAAGTTTACTTGCATATTTAATAGCAAGATTTAATAATTGCTGAGAGCCAATTAGTTCTACCAATTCTTGAGCTCTTTGTTCTAGTTCACTTCGACAAGCCAACTAAAAGAGTATATACTTATGAGAAGTCTGTATTAAAAACAATACATCCATCTTAATAAATGTACCGCAAATAATTTAATAGCAGTCTCTTTAAATTGTTTTTCATCTGGATCTGCATTCCACAAGGACCACCTACATATCTGTTCTTCCAAACGTGATTTATCTGTCTCCGACTCGCACATAGAAAACTGAAATGTTATATATTAATTGCAGATTAATATATCAAATTAGCAATATTTATAATAAAACTGTACCTGCAATGGCAATTCACTAACGACAGGTCTTGGTGTTGTTTGTGGATACTTTGATCCCCTGCATAACACTGCATATACAACCTGCTTTATTTCACTTACTTCAATGATGAAGAATCTATCAGACACTCCTTTAACCTTAAAAAAAATATTCATCCATGCATGTAAGTCAACTTTTAGAAAATCAAGAAAATTTAAATATACTTCTCATAAAATCTACTTTTTTTTCTTTGCACTTTGATATAATATCAAAGAAATATGAGTGCATGAAAAATATTTACATGCGACGCGGTATCACACAAAGGCATCCAAACTCCAGACGTCGTAATATATATTTTAAGACTTCCATGTGAATCGAAAAAAGCAGGAGATCCTTTGTCTGTAAAGCCCAACCATGATAGTTCAGCAGTCGGACCCAGTGGCAATCGCATATCAATACTTTTCAGTTTAAGTCCTAGAATTACAAATAGACTTCTAAATCTTTTATCTCCTATTCATTTATTTATTATTTCTGAACTTTACCAATGGCCTGTATAAACATCATATTTATATTTTGATCACCTCCAACTAATGCTGACGAGTTATGATAAGCAACTAAAATTTTATTTCCATAACCTGCTAGGCATATTATTGGACCAGGAATTGCAATAACCTTAAAAATCATATTTATAATGAATATTATACTTTGATAAATATAATCAACATAGTACTTAATATGTACACTTTTTAGTTCTTTACAACAAAGCCTCAAAAAAGTAGTGGTTGTACTATATGCATATGCATATAAATATATATATATATATATACACCTAAGTCTGTTTTTACACGAAGATTGGTTCCAGAAGAAGCCGTGTAAAAAAAAAACGTGTAAAAAAAGACATTGATCTTATACAAAAATGGGTGATTTGTCCTGCTCTCTAAAACCTATTAAAATTGGTGAAAAACAAGAATTTTTAAGAACAAAAATTAAATTAGTGCTATTCACATTTGCTTTGACCAGTAAAAATTGTTTGTACGCGCTAAAGGGGAATTCACTTAAATCTTTAAGCTAGTGTTCGCAAACTATCGATACTATCGATGGTTTCAGACTTTTTCTTTCATAAATACTTTTTTGTGATATGAACATACTTCGCAAAAATTTAATTTGACAAAAAAAATTTAGGTACATAAAATTTCAAATCGTGCTAAATGGAATAAATTCGTGTAAAAAAATTAAAAATATTCAATTTTCAAACTGTGTTATATCAAAACCGTGTACAAAAAGACCGTGTAAAAACAGACTTAGGTGTATATATATATATATACATATATATCAGCATCAAGCCGAAACAAGGTGATTGACCTTAGCTGTCCCGAAAAAAATTAAGAAAAAAAAATTCTCTCATTGTTTGGAAGTTATGAGCATTTAGTACAACCAAGAGCTTTGGTAAAATTATGACCATTTTTCAGTTATTAAATTAAATGTTATTCAGTGAATAACATTTATAGGACCAGAGCAAATTTAATTTCATAAACGCCCCAAGTTTTAAACAATTAAGATTTTTTTGTTGAACTATGAATTTAAAATTTTTAAAATTGGTCAACTTTGAGTGACAGTTAAGGCCTAGGACACCCTGGAAATGAAATTGAAAATTCATTTACTTCTCTTTGAGTTCCAAAAACAGTGAACAGTCTTAATATCCTTTGGTCAGTAGCAACCGCTACCAATTTGTCACCTGCCCCAATGGCTAATATTTCTTCATCTTGTGGCATTTCGGTAGACCATTCTCTGCCAGATGCTCCCAATGTGATACAAACAAGTTTGCTAAATTGAATTTTATTTTGATATTCGATTTTAGTGTAATATTTTTTTGATAACAAAATATATAGTAGGATACAAATAATGAAGTATATTTAATAAGAACCTTGGAGTTTCACAAGCCATTGCTAAAACGGAATTTGACAAGCTGGCCATCGTATGACCCAAATAATTATTCATATGAATTCCATGATGCGTTAATGAATCATGAAATTCGACTTCTATTGAGTTCTCAGATTCAGATATGTGAGATCGAACAATTCCTATACCATTCCAAACCATATATCTATGCTCTAAATGCGCAGGTGTTGAACCTGGTTGAAATGGAGGTTGCAATGGAGTTATCGGTAGTACTGGTGATTTTCTATGAACACTGGCTGAAGATGAAGCTCTATCTAAAAATAGATTAAAATATAATATATATTAACATGTTACAAACATTTCTTCCATAATATGAAGTTCAATACAAATATGCATAAAAAAAACATACCAGTGTCCAAAGCAATTGTTTCTGGTTTAAGGGTTTCATTTTTAATTTTTTCTAATGATATCACATTCTCATTGTCATTTTCATCTTCCTCAGAAAGTTCTAGAAATGTTTGAATTATATTATTAAGCGTTATAAATAATGCATGAATGGCAAGCAATTTATTTCAATATCATATATACCTAAATTGTCCTCGAAGTCCAAATCATCATAGTTATTTAAAGGACTTCGTTCAGGAGCAATATTAGACCCATAACAATCTTCAATAGTTCCTAATTGGCCAAATACATCACAAAATGCCAATTCTCCATTTCCCGATGGGTTCCAAGCCAGTGAGCAGACATTATATGAGTTTGGGTGCTCTGAAAATACCTTACAATTTTGAGTTGAAACATCCCACACACAAATTTGACCAGTAGATGTTGAACCAGCAATGTGAGTTCCGCATGGAGAAAATACACATATTGAGAAGGGGTGATCAACCTGTTCGAAGAAATAATTTAAAATAGCAAATCGATAAAAATTTTATTTACTGACGTTTTCTCTAAATGAATGTGAATTAAAGCCAAATCAGGTATTATCTCAAAAGGAGGTGGTTGAAAATATACCTTAGTATGTGAAAAAACAAAAAGACGTTCCCATGATGTTGTATCCAATAGCACAATTTCTTTACCACAAGGATAAGCTAAGTATTTTCCACTAACTGGTTCAAAATTAGACATTCCTACAAAAAGTGCTTATTATTGTATCTGTATATCAAGTTAATGTGAATAAAAAATCATCACCTAAAACATTGGCAGCTGCAAAATTCTTCGCTTTAGGTAGAGAATTGAATAAATGTATTTGACATTTATCCTGCAAGGCCCAAATTCTTAATGTTCCATCAGTAGAAGTTGATGCAACATATTTTTCAGTTGGACATATCGAAACAGATAATATTGCTCCTTCATGTCCTGATAATTTTATAGATTGACCTCCGGTTTTTGGAACAACACTTATTTCAGAATCTTGAGCTCCAGCTACAAGTAGCTAAAATGATAATTGCACTTACTATAATGATTTCATTTTATAAATGATATGAGTATTATCTGCACTGTGTTATTTAATTATTTTGTCCTTCCTTTGTTCAATCATAAGAACTCTTCTGATCTGATCTTAACACTTGCGTATACCTGAGATCCAACAGCCAGATGCGAAGCAGGAGCAGTGAAGCGTTCGAGAACTATATCTTTATCACAGCTTGGATAGTTATAAGATTGAACTGTATTATTATCTAAAGCCACAAATAATTTATTTTCCTTGAATACTATACAAAGTGCCCATTCTCCAACACAATGTGAAGTAGGATCATCATCTTGCAGACCAGCCCAAACTCTAAAATCACCATCGCTACCACAGGTCATGATATGACTGAAATTTCATTCATAAGAACATTATCTACAGAAAAATATATTATAAATTATATTCAAAGTTTGTATTTGGTAAATAGGCCTTGGGAGTTAAATTGTCATTTTTATTTTAAAACTTAGTAGAATGTTGTCATAAGTATGAAATAATACTATGTAGAATTTTTGCAATTTAACCTATTCTATGAAATTAAAATATTGTAAACATACCTTCCATCATCAGAAAAACAAACAGAGGTATGACCTTCTGCGTGGGCATAACGCATATCTTTCCTCTTAAAACTCATTATCCTGTACACTTAATTCACAATTGTAAAATTAATAACTAAATATTAAAATGATAGTTTATAAAATACTCTCAACGAAGTTAGTTTAACATTTATATGTTAAATGTTACATGTCAAAACAATCAGACATAATGTAAAAAAATTCTGAATAAATATTGATAACATTAATAGCTGATACTGCACTTTTATTTAAAAGGGAAGACACAAAACGTAATATTTTTAACACGCAGCCCAACGACCAACGAGTGTATTTAGGATTCACGTTTTCCCGCCTGCTGAATGACAGATCTCAGTTGACAGTACATTACAAGTTTACATTACAACAGATGACAGATCGCAGTTCCCTGAATAAAAACAAAAATGCCTATCGCATTTGTTTAGATATTACTTTATTATTAATTTAATTTTATTTTTTTTTTTGAAATCGTGTTTGTTCTCTAAATGAAGGAAATAATTGAGCACTAACAGTACGATGGAAGAAGAAACTAGTTATGAAGACAAACTGCTCAAACACTGCGCTAGCCTGGAGGTTGCTGTGGACGATTTAATAAGGTATAAAAATTTTTACTTTGAGCACCATCCAGTGAGCGAAGCACACTTAAAGAACGAGAGAATTAGATCAAAAGTACAACAAACAAGTGAACTGTTCAAAAAATATAACGATGTAGTTTTAGAAAGGACACTTAAAGCCAGCTATTTTTATCAACAGGGAAGAGCTTTAAATGTTTTGGATGAATTTAATCCTGTAGCTTTAGAAGTTCTGACACAAGCAATTAAATTAGATTCAAAGAATATAGATGCTTGGAATATACTAGGAGAATTGTATTGGAAAAACAATGACTTTGTAGATGGTATATCATGTTTTGAAAAGGCTAACGGCATTAAGAAAAATAAAGAATCATTAAGAAATCTTTCTATGTTGTTTCGTCAGTTACCTCAAGATATTTGTATGAGAAATATAGAATCGATACCTGCCAAGAATAGTGATAGAGTCTTGAAAGCACTTGAATATGCACAGGAAGCATTAAAATTAGATCCAACAGATGGTACAAGTTGGGGAATATTGGGTAACGCATATCTTGCAGAATATTTTGCTTTTGAACAAAACACTGCTTTACTTAAAAGAGCATTGTCTGCATATAACCAGTCATATAAAGATCCTGTTGCTAAGTTTTGCCCTACAACAACCTTTAACCATGCCATGGCACTTAAATACTTTGAGGAATATTCTGATGCGGTATTGAAATTAGAACGTGCTATTGAATTAGAACCCACTTGGGAATCAGCAAAAGATGAATTAAGTAGCCTTTTAAGATATATTCATAACCTTCAAGACTTATATACTAACAAAGGCAGAATAAAGCAGAAAAAACTAGTTGCTCAAATTAAAAGCTTAAGTCCCAATGATCTGGGCCCTTTAAAATCTGCTGATTCTCAATACAAGCTGATTTCCTTAGCAGATTTGAATATAGGAGAAAACAAGGATTGTGTAGTGCTAGGACGATTAGTGGGAACTATATTTTACAATGATGCAGTGCCATTTGTTTTTGGTATAGTGGATGCATCAGAACTTTGTATATTATTCACAGTCTATAACTTGATTAAAAATAAACCATTTCCGATAGGCGCTGCAATTGCAGTAGCTAACCCTCTCATGGAGATTAAAGAATTCAGTATTAAATCCAAATCATTTTATTTCAAGTCTGTTCGAGTTGATAACCCGCTAATGATTTTGATAAATGGTGAACAAGTATCAAAAGATAATTTATCATGCATTCATGCAACCTTTAGTAGTACAAATGATATTGATATGTCAAAGAAGACTCATTTTCATGAAAAATAAGTGTGCAGTAAAATTTGAGAACTTACACGGTCAATGTAAACTAAATTATTTTGTTTTTGAATAAGTTTTCATTTGTATTTTAGAAGTTCTTTACTTATATTTTGTATTTTTTATATTTTAACACAGTTCATAATTTGTTAATCATTTTAAATTTATATATATCTATATATTTAATCCATAGATTTGTATATAAAATAGTATAATATATTTTTCTAATATATTTCAATTTTGGTTTTATTATTGTAAAGAATAAATTTTGCCATTTTTATTAAATATTAAAAATTGTCATTCTTAATACAGAAATTTTTGTATTTGTATCACAATGATAAAAAAATCCTACATATCTTTAAGGGCGTCTGCGTATATGCTCTCTATTGTATTCTACTACCAAAGAGTGGCACAGCATGTCATAACATGTACGATTATAACTAAAAAAAAATATCACAAAAAACATTGGAAATAACATAGCTAGTAACAAATTTTTCACAATGGATCGAGCAAGAGATACAAGAACTCCTAAATTTTCTGCTGGATGTACCAGAACAGTTTCTACATCCCTTCCTGGTATTGGTACAAATGCTGTGGCATATATCACTCGCAATCCCATTACACTTTTGCCTGGTGTGGCACCACCAATACTTCCGTTGGCACCTCTTTGTAAATATATTGCCTAATATGGAGTTCAGTTAGAGAATTGTAAATCGATAATTGTATATATTATTTCTTACCTCAAATATACAAACGGTAATTCTATTTAAACATTCAAGAAGAATTAAATCAGATGTAATGTTTATTACATTGGAATAATCAGGTTTAAGTCTTTCTCGAATATTAGACATATCAAAATTTTCAAAGTCACTGAAACAAGGAATATAGGTAAAATATTTAAATTACTGTGAGATAATCTGAATACTGGTACGTACATAATGTTGAACATATCTACAAGAATATATATCAAAGATAACTTTATAAAAAACAATATCAAAAAGTCTATTAATTCTGCCACTAATCTTTTCCAGACTGGT